ACACCGAGTATGTCCATATTGAGAGAATTTTTAAGGACATTATGCACGACATCTATTCAAATCCAAGTCATATAAGTAAATTAAGTATTAGATCAATATGGAAAAAACATATCACACATTAATTAAACATTAGGACACTATTAAAATAAACAGCCGTTACGTAAAAATCAATGGGCATTATGACTATTTAGAAAGTATGAAATGTATATGTACAATTGTGAATATAGTATAGGAAGAACGAAATATAAGAAAGGTTCTGGCAGAAACAATATAGGTCATAGTATGTATTACGTGGATATTAAACGTAGTAAAGAATGACCACTGGGCAGAAATATGTAGACATTATATGTCTGGCTATTAGATATTATAAGAAAGATGTGACCAACATAAAACAAATAGAGGTTTAAAAGGCGAACATGCGAACTTGAAAAATCTCCACTTTTTTTATCCAAATGCACTGCTTGCATCGCCCAGCTGCATCTTTTTTAATCCGCGCATACAACATGGAGGGATAAAAGATGGAAAAGAAGATCATTCTTGCTCTCATAAACTGCACTCAACGCAATCGTAGTTGGATAAAACCGAGATATAACCTTCAAATCCCTTAACATAGCTATTTCCTCAAGAGACATGAGGGTACTATGTGACATTGAACTATCATTGGACAAAAACAAATTGTTCTCCACCAGCGTTTCTTCAATATATGTCTGAAACAAAGGAGATGTCGAAGAAAGTATGAGACGGTGATCATAGTGATTACTAATCGAGCTACTTTGAGGCACTTCTAGGACATCACCACCGTGTGCGTTTGAATGCCCGGGGAGAGATGTGTCCCCCTGAGAAAAAGCATTCATGTCGGATTCGAAATCACGTGGAGAATCAAAACTAGACCATAACTGTAACACCCGCCTTCCGCAGACCCGGTTCACCCGCGACCCGACGGACCGGTAGGGTTACATGAACAGTCCGAGAACCGTCCGTTACAAACGTTAATGATTATTTAATAAGAAAATGGTTACGTTTAATTGATGGGATATTAATGACTATTTACTATGAAAACGTTTATGTTTAATTGGTGTAATGAATGCTAGGAGTTATATCCAAAACGTGAGTGATTTAAATGCAGAGTAAAAGCGGAAGTAAATAATAAGTAAAAACGACAAATGGTGGGTTCATGCCCAAATGATTAATTAATTAAATGTATTTAATTATTGAACTTGTCCATGCGTCGCCCATCTTCCCACCATCACTGTCCTCCAGGGTTAGCACCCGCACCATCATGTCTACCTGCGTGTAGCAAAAACAACTACACGCTCAGCATAAGCTGAGGAGTGAATCTAACAAAAGAACATTAAGTGATAACCCATATGGATATACACATATTAATACATGTACTTAACGTACGGAAAACCACATGTTTACTAACTGATTAATTTACACTTGTTGGGGTACTATTACATATAACAGAATGATATACTACCACATCGAATATGAACATGTTGGGGAACATACATGATGATGACAACCACATTGAATGTTGTCATGACATGGGACATACATGATGACGATATGACTTGATGCACGACCTAAACTAACAGGGACACCCCTGACTTAGTCTCACTTGACAGGATTACCCCTGCACTCTTGTAATGACCCGGGCTCGATGGAAATGTCGCAAGTGGACTAGCAAAAACCGGGTGGTAGCCGTAGCCTGACTACCATGTACGTACACAAAGCCCACATGATGAAAAACCCGTTGGATCCCAAAGGTTCCTGGACGGGCCCACTGTAGTAGGCGCACGGAAGCCTGACCTCCCTACAGCGGTATGCACATGATGATGAACCTAGTACATGCGTCTAGGATGAACATGATGGAATGATTGCAATTATTGAAGAAGGAAGTTAAATTAAACGCATACATATATGTTTGATTATAATTTGTTCAATATGATGGCCTTAGGTTCAGAACTGGCTGATAATCGATTGTCTACTGTTGATAATCGATTATCATGTTGTGCAGCTTCTGTCCCCAAAGTCCTGCAGACCGTGATAGTCGATTGTCCCCCTATGACAGTCGATTGTCAAGTTGGTTTGTTCGGGAAGTCCTAAGTTCAGAGAGCCCTGATGATCGATTATTGATTATGTGATAATCGATTATCAGTGAAGCCAACTCAGACCCAAGAATCCGCAGGACCTGATAGTCGATTATCACATATGTGATAATCGATTATCACGCTGTGCTGAATCAACTGAGGAGTCTAGCGTGGCCTGACAGTCGATTGTACTATCCTGTAACTCGATTATCAAGGCACGCTGATTTCCATTTTATCTGTTTGTTTGTCATCAAAACGTTGGAAGTTTTAGAAACGAATGCTTACATTTCCATGCTAAATAATCGATGAACTTACAAGGTTTCAAAACATTTATATTAACGAGTAGTTAACTTGATAACGTGGACACACGTATGTTTGAGGGTTAACCTACAGACATGCATAGATTCTACGTAGGTTGCGTACGATATTCCTATGAATATAACGACATAGATTATAACTAAATGTTCTAGAATTATAGGGGACAACTACTCATCTCTAAATGAAGGGATTGATGGAACGAGATGAACGAATGGTGCTAATGAACGGACAACGAACAACGAATGGCTTCCCGCTAGCCTTCCTTCCTTCCCTCTCCTTCCTTCCCCTTCGTCTACTTGCCAGCACTCCTCCCCGAGCTACTGCTGCCTTGGCCGGAAATAAGTGAGACAGATGTGAGGGTGTGAATGGTTGGGGGGTTACAAGTGTGGTGGGGAAAGTGAAGAGAGGAAGGAGTCATTATATGGGATGGGTAATGATGAGGATTAATGGGCAATTGATGACAAATAATGGTGATGAATGTGGGAGGGAGAGGAATGGCGTGTGAAGAGTTAAGTGGGGAATTAATTCCCTAAATTCTACCCCGTTATGTAAAATCTGACCTAAATGGTACACAGTTTTCCCCCGAACGGGCCCGAATTGAAAACCGTTTACGTTTTTGGAAACAGGCAGTCAAAATGAATTTAATGACATGTTCAAATAATTTTTCTAAGAACTTTTTATTTTCCCCAACTCTGGACCGGAACAGTAATTAATTATTTAAAACAATCAATTCTAATAGACCGGGTTGTAGGGCGTTACAATAACTCAACACATGAGGGCAAATCATGAACATTTTTATGTTTCAGTTTCAAGCGAATGTAAGAATAAAGGGTAGAATCACATGAACAAAGGTACGCGTTTGTGTAGAATTGGCCATGTATGACATTATAAATTCTGAATTTTCAGCATATGACGAAATTGTCAATCGAATTAAGTGGAGTAGATCTTCATACGTAGACCCACAACAGACATCAATTTCATAGAACCACTTAAAGTTGAATTCAGAATTATTACACCAAACACCATCAAATTTCAGGAGAACACGAGCATACCTTCCTTGGGGGATCAATGATTGAGAAACCGCTTGCAATAAATAAGAGAACATGTTCTTCCTTCTGGAGATGAAAACCGGTGACAAGGGGGTACGAAAGAAGGGAAAGGAAAAGAGCCATTAGGGTAGGCGATGACAGACGTGTGGGGTGTGGAGATTTGACTTCCTAAATTTTTGGAGATAATCACTGGTGATTAGGTTTTTACATGGAATGAAATACTAAAAAACGTGGGAATGGGGAGGAGGACAAATACGTCCCATTTAAGAATAAAATGTGCCATTTAGGGAAAAAAGAAGTTGGTGCTATATACGGAAGATTCCAATGTTTGAGTGCTATATGGAGCAAAAATTTCAAAGATAAATGTAAAGTATGATAACTCCATCAATACTACATGGAGTCAGAAGCATGTAGCATATTGACTAATGACAAAAGGTACAACATGACATGACATCTACACATGAATTATATTATATAACAAAACACAACGACCAAATTTCCATGCCAATCCTTATAATAATAAACCACAAAACATCACACAAAACAATTTTAATGCATGCCAGATCTAGCACTTAATGAACAAAGCTAGAAAACATCACATTGCCACAAGTGATTACATTGAGACACTTAGCCCCATAATAATAAAACAAACAACACCACTCGATGAAACTTCCGCTCCCTGCCCCTAATGAACACGCCTAAAAAGTGTAGGAATGTTTGTATGAAAAACACTGCGGAGCAGTGTTGATGAAGAACTTGATAGTATAAAAAATCACGTATAAACGCGTTCAGATCAAAGTTATTTCAGGGTAAACGAAATACTTCAATCGGATAAGACGTTAATCAACAACAAGCACTCAAAATCCAAAACTCTATCCATACCACGAGACTCTATTTTATAGAATCGAAAAATTCATGACCGAACATGATTGTTCATGTAGACGCGTATGTTTGCACGGTAAAGAAGTAACGCGCGAGAAGATCCTGTGGTTTTGGGGTCAAATTCGACGTTATCCAGTAGTTCGAGTCCTTTATTATTTTAGACTCCGAACACGAAAATCTTAAGGATTTCCATAAAGAAAAAAAGTCTGAAATAAAAAATATTCCCTCGGCTTGGGGCACTGCCCCTTGGACCTCGCTAGGGGCTGCCGCCACTTGGACCCCGCTACCTAGGGACTACCGCCCCAGACCCCGCTTTTAATTTGTAATATTGTTGAACTAGCGTGCACTCCGCGCTTCCTAACTCGTTTGACGTCTATTTAAATTCTTATCCGATCTAAGTAAATCCTAATCCGCGCTTCGTTAATTATTTCTTTAATTCTCTAATGCCTCGTCATATATCATTTGTCAAAAAGTGACACGCCACATAGCCAAATGTCACACTTAAACATTGCCAAATGTCGTGTTCTTGTGCTTAGAGTCTCCTTTTATATACTCCGTATAAAGGATGTTGCCCCAGTGCGCCCTGTCCAAAGACAGTGTAGTGAGACCTCGATGGCAACGGGACCTGGTGAAATATTGTACAGAATTTACAGAGTCATGACCTTCGGCCTCTCGCCACTGTTACACCTCAATCTACGTTGGCGTAAACGCCGCGGCCTCGAGCATCCCATCCGGTGGGGCGAGCGTCTTGGCCGTCCTTCTCTCCCTCGTCCTCCTGGTCCCCTCGTTTGGTTCCATGCTGTGTCGCTTGGTGAGTGTCTCCTCTTGTAAAATCCCCACAACCACTGGCGGAGCTAGATTGAATGCGTCTAGAGTTGGACTCGAAAGCTTAAAACTGATAAGCCGAGAGAGACACATACCATTCCTTGACCAAACGCTTTGTCATCCTTATCTGTCTAATACAGTACTGCTCAAGTCTACACTTCAAAATGTTGAATTACTTTCAAATTATGATTTAATTTGTCTTGTTTCAGCTAGTGATGATTTTGTGTAATGTGGTGATCTCCATTGATTTCAAATTCTTTCTGTCTTTTGCTTTTATTTGGGAAAAAAGGTGAGGGACTGGCTGCGATTCCCGTGATCAAATGCTGCTTAGAAAGGATGCCGGATGTAAATGTTTTAATGACAACAACCACAACATCAGCATTGTGAGTAGACTCTTGAATTTGCATTTTTGCATTTCTCTATGCACATATGAATGATGCAGTGTTGGTTCTCTCACAGTAAAATATTGCATGAGTATATTTCTAAAGGAGTATATTATTAAGGTCTAGAGGCAATTATTATTTTTAGATCAAAGCTAAGGGGTGAAATCCTGAGCCTTAAGAGATGTGGCTCCTTAGCACAGTAGCATATGTCTTGGCCAGTGTGTCTTCCTGCACCAATTGTCCAATTGGCGAACAATCCTTGGTGGGTAACTTAACTCTCTCTAACTCACCCATGTGTCCTTCCCTATTTTAGCAAGTGCATCTGCGATTCGGTGTGCTCTCTAAAAACATGATATATATGAACCTCCCATCGCTTCATTATCAAACACTGGCACACTTCAATGATATTATTTGCAAGACCCCTTGTTGTATCTTTACCTTGAATCCAGTCCATGCATTCCATAGAGTCGCATTGGATTGACAACTTGGGAAGGCCTTTCTTCCACGCCCAAATGAGGCCTTTCAGAATTACCCAGCATTCACCAATGGTATGATGAGTTGTGGTATGATAGGCACACGAAACCCCCTATCCAGTTCCCCTCATGCCCTCTTAATAGTCTCCACAACCTGTACCATTAGCATCTGCACTCACATCCACATTTAAATATTTAGTGCCCAACATTCGGTTTCAACCATTTTACCTGAGCCGCCAACTCCTTGTCTAACGGCATTTCAATGACATTTTGGCTCTGGAATGCTCTCACTATCTCCTTTTCTGACTGAATCCAGTTGACTCTACTCTCATCATCATGTTCACATTGTAGAAGACATAATCATTCCTCCATCTCAATCCCACCAACACGTGATCACAAAAATCATCGGCCACTCCAACCCATGTGACGTAATTTTCCCTGCAATTTGAACATCCATCCATTGTCAGAAGTCGAGTGTTGCCAAGCTTTGCATTGTCCTTCTTTTTAACATCGGGCTCTATACCCTATGTGTATTTGGACATTCACGGAGGATATGTGCCACAGTTTCTATCGTATTTGGGTAGAATGGACACCTATAAATTTGGGTAGAATGGACACCTATCATCAACAGCCATATGCCTTCTATAGCGTTCTGCATTGCATGCTAGTCTTTTGTGTCATGCCAACCAAAGGAATGTCCCTGTATGGCTCCACTAAAAACTATCGCTCCCAAAATATCCAAAAAGTCTTTTATATCATTTTAAGTCCAAAATAAAGTCTTCCCTTATCCATTTCAAGCATTGGACGCAAATGCTAAAGACTAAATAAAACCTTAGTTTCTTGTTTTATCCTTTAAAGTCTTCCATTTAGCCACCTAACGTTCCCTTGTCATTTCCTTCCCTTATGCCAAAATTTCTCCTTCATAAATCTTCCAAGAATAAGTCATTTTGTAAAGAAAACAAAACCAAATCATCTGATAACATCCGGATCAATGATAGTAGAAGGTCACCTTAATTATATTATTAGGTGTGGGTTAATTAAGTTTGTTACTATTTTTTATATATTAAATAAAAGGACTCTCAGGTTATTAGGATTCCTGAGGCCCTAGGAAAGCTTAGCTAGTTAGAACTTATCACTTTATTCTCTTGATCTAATCCGATCAGTTTGATCTTATTCATTTGTTAGAGTTGTTATAAATATCCCAGCTTCTCTATTGCTGAGATATCCTGGAAAATAAACTATCAATCACATTGAGATCCTTTTGGCTTCTATCACTTTTTCATCGGTGAGATTCTTACTGAGAGAAGGGAGGGAGAATTCTATTTAGAATTAATTTAGATCCTGAATTAATTCAAACAGGTTTCTATCATTTGGTATCAGAGAGCTCGTTACTCGATCCCGATGGCGATTACCCGTTCAAACGCTGCCCACGGTGAGGACGGTGGATCCAGCAAGCAATCAGTGCACTAAGTTATTCCCCAGAACAACACTCTAGCACAAATCGCGGCGATGCTTTTTGTGTTAGATGACCTTAACGCAGAAGTGACTACCCTGAAAGTGCAGGCTAGTAGTAATTCTGGGCAGTATACGGACGATTCTGGCGATGAAAACGATCACCCCTGCCGGTTTCCCAGATCCAAAGTTGAGTTCCCTAAATTCAGCGGCGGAGATCCACGGGGCTGGGTGTTGAAAGCTGAAAAGTACTTTCGTTACTATGGAACATCATAAGAAGATAAGGTTGAGATAGCAGCCATGCACCTCGAAGGTGACGCTCTCGACTTGTTCTCCTGGATCAGTGCCAAAAGGACACTCTTGTACTGGGAGGAATTCATCAAAATCTTTGAGGAGCATTATGGACCGCCAGAATACTTGAACCCAGACAAACACCTTGTCTTAATTAAACACACTGGCTCCGTACAGCACTATCGTCAAGAGTGGGGGAGAAGGGTTGCTCGAGTCCGAAACTGGCCTGACCATTGTCTCTTGGGTGTCTTTATTGCTGGTTTTAGAGAGGATTTGAGGTTGGAGGTCAGAATCCACAAAACCCAAATCTGTGTTCAGGGCTTTAGTCTAGCCCTTGTGTTTGAGAAGCGGAATGCACCTGTGCATTTCAAGACAAGTTCTATGGGATCAGGTCGGGGTGTTGGTTCTGATTCTACCATTGACCCAAACCGAGAGTTTAAAAACATGTCCCAATCTCACTCGCCCCAGCCACTTGCATTCTCAGGATCTTCAAGCTCAACACCAACCTTCCCCGTTTCGAGATTTAGTAGGGACGAGTCGATGAAGCAGCAATGCAGGGATAAAGGACTTTGCTCTCGGTGTGGCGATCCCTTTAGGCCGGTTCACCGTTGTTCGACTTCATCCACTACCTTCTCCTTGATGGAAGTTGATGAGGAAGGTAACCCGATGAATCCCAAGCATGTTCCCATTGATGGGGAGGCAAAAGAAGAGGAAGCATCCTTTAATGCAATTCTGGGAATGCCAACGTCCGCCACAATGAAATTAAGTGGAAAATTACATGGACATGAAGTTCTCTTGTTAATTGATAGTGGTTCAACACACAACTTTATCTTTGAAAAACTAGTGGAGCAACTTAAGCTACCTGTTTCCTCTGTTCAGACATTTGGGGTACAGGTAGGAGCAGTGTTGTCAAGTCGTCGCCTAGGCCACGACTAGTCGGCGCCTAGTCGTCCGGTCGTTTTTGCGAGGGAGAATTTCTGTGCGCCTAGCGCCTATGGCCGACTAGGCTATTAAGTGCGCAAAGCGTCGCTTAGCCGCGATTAGGCGTCGCCTAATCGGTGAAAGAAATCTGCAGAATTTGACCTAATTTAAGTGACCCGACCCAACCCGACCCGACCTGACCCAAATTTCATTAATTTTTAAAAGTTTTTAACAAAACGCTGCCTCCTTCGACGCAATCCACCCACAATCTAGTCGTGACTATAGTCTTTCAGTTCCAGGGTGACTTCCGCGACTTCCAGGCTTCCAGCGACTCTCCTCCATCATCGATTATATTCCATCAGCCTCCATCACGGACTCTCCTCAATGGGTAAGTTTTCTTTTACTTTGTTATCATTAAAGTATTTCTTTTAATTTTTCAGTTTAAGATTTCTTTTAATTTTTTTCTTATTCTACAGTTTCTACTATTTTAGTATTTCAATTTTATTTTCAGTTTAATATTTCAATTTTTTTCTGAATTCAATTAATATTTTGGTTTTGTATATCTTATTTTAATATTTTAAGGGTTCTAGGCTCCTGTCTATGACACCACAATGGAAGAAAATCGTCATGGTGGCATAACGTTGGATGATGATATTTGATAACTCAAAACATGGAATTAACTATTTTAATGTCCTTTGACTTCTTATTGTGTTAATTATCTTTCTTGGTGTGTTATTTTTCAAGATTGAAGGATAGTTGCTTGTTATGTACTCTTTGTTAAGTGACTTTATGTGCTATCTTTAAACATAAGTTTGCTTTGGTTATGGTATTTTGACATATAAATATATATATATTCATGTTGGGTTAGTGTAGATATATATAATGTTAAAAATTTCAATACTAATTATGATTTGTCGACTAGTCTACGACTAGTCTACGACTAGTCGCCTAGTCCACTAGTCTCCCCGTCACCGACTCGACTCGACTTGTCGACTTGACAACCATGGGTAGGAGACGGTTTTATTATTCAATGTGATCAGATTTGCAAGTCCGTTTCAGTTAGGCTTCTAGGTTTGACTCTTACACAAGATTTTTACCCATTCCCACTAGTTCGTTCTGACATGGTCCTTGGAATCAAATGGTTAGCCTCTCTGAATACCATTCAAGCAAACTAGAATGAGATGTTTCTGATTTTTTTGGTTGACGGGAAGTGATATAAATTACAAGGCATCTCGAAAGTTGATCAAAGCAGTAGATTAAATTCAATGGTGTGTCGTGTGCTGCAGTTAGGAGTAGAGGAAAAATTTCCTTTGAATCTCAATGACTTAATGCAACACCAACATCCAGACTTCCACCTTGAGGACAAGGTGTCCTTCAGAAAGGGGAGTAATGATAAGATCCGGATCAGTGATAGTAGAAGGCCACCTTAATTATAATATTAGGTGTGGGTTAATTAAATTTGTTACTATTTTTTATTTATTAAATAAAAGGACTCTCAGGTTATTAGGATTCCTGAGGCCCTAGGATAGCTTAGGTAGTTAGAACTTATCAATTTATTCTCTTGATCTAATCCAATCAGTTTTATCTTATCCATTTGTTAGAGTTGTTATAAATATCCCAGCTTCTCTATTGTGGAAAATAAACTATCAATCACATTGAGATCCTCTTGGCTTCTATCACTTTTTCATCGGTGAGTTTCTTACTCAGAGAAGGGAGGGAGAGTTCTATTTAGAATTAATTTAGATCCTGAATTAATTCAAACAGGTTTCTATCATCATCCCATATGTTAGCCATAATTTGGAGAAACAAAAGTCTCCAAATGAACAGTATCTGTTTGTCTTTTTGTGTCTCAAAATTTTTATG